AGAATAATGACTCTTGTCTGGTTTGTGAAATACGATCTTTGTCTTTGATACTATAAGTTCTGAGAGTATCTGTTTGGATTAAATGCCTGCAGCATGGGTATTTCCATAGCAAGGAAGTCAACTGAGATGAAGCATACTGCAGCAGCACTGGTGGGGAGAAAGACTAAATTACTAATTTCATTTCTAAACATGAAAATAAATTGTGAGGGCTATACACAACTCACCATTGAACTTTGTTAAGGTTGACATGCAAATGTGCAACTCCTACAGGATTGAAAATTCATAAAGCTCTGTCTGTCCACACAACTACCCAATTTTATTGAGGCTAGGGAAAAAAGATGCACACAAACCAGTTTAAGTCATCAGAAACTGGTTTAAACCTGTAACAGAACAGAACTTCAGTGCACATAAACCAGTTTCAAAATGGCTGAAACTGGTTTAAGATAAACCTGGTTGAATGTAGTATTAGACTTAACTAATTTGGGTCAAACCAGTTTATGAAACTTCTGTCCCAGGTCCGTTCTTGGTTCAAGTTAAATCACAGTTCCCCAGCATGCTTTGCAGCCCTGTATTGTGCTGTGCTGTGCTGTCTGCGCCAGCAGAGAGGGGCGGGGTGGGGGGAGGAGGCAGGGACTCTTCCCCCCCCCCCGCCAAACACCAACTGTGGTCTGGGGCCAGGGAGGAGGGCTAAACTTACCTTCCCCCAAGTACAGAGCTGCCATGCTGCTGAACTTGCTGAAACTTACTACTGGATGCAACTGTGGACTACAAATCCCAGAGGCACCTGAAAGAGGAAGTGAAGAACAACCCTGGAGAGTTGTTACTGTGATTCTGGACTACAAATCCCAGAGACCTCAGGGGCAACAGAAAGAGGAAGCAAACACACAGCCCATGCTGGCTACAATCCAGAGAGGCATGCTCCACTGCCCCCTGGCTTCTGGCCTGAGACACTGCAGGCTGATTACAGGGAGATCAAGGCCTTTCAAAAGTGAGGAGGGTCAGTCTCACCTTCCTTGTGTGGGAAGAATGCACGAGTTAAATAGATTATAACATGCCATTAATCTAATATCAGGGATGGCACCCAACAAACCAGTATATACAGACAACCCACAGACTGTACCTATGTTCACAAGATCAGCAATCATCCCAAGCACACCAAACAAGCTGTTGTCTACAGCCAAGCCTTCCGATACCACTGCATCTGCTTGGAGAGCACTTGATGCTCACTTGATCAGCCTAAAATCTGCCTCTATACAACAAGACATACAAAAAACTAGAACTCTTGGTTCCAAAATGATACCTTGTGTTAGACCAACTGGAAAATGGCAAGAAAATTGTCCTTTTCTGCAAGCTTTTGGGATCAAAGTCCCTTCGTCAGGCTCTGGGAAAAGTGTAGATGGTACAAGATGGTAAAAAGTCCCCATAGGTAAGAAATAAACTTCATTTTTGCACAGAGGGAGCTGAAGATGGAAGTCTGTCCCTCTGGGTCCATGAGAGTGTCTTTGTGAGCTGTGTTGAGTAGCTCTTTATACAACAAGGACACTCCAGTAGAGAAATAAACCATACATTTGATAGAGCTACCCAAATACCCTGTACTAACTTGCTACAATACAAAAAGAAACCATTTGTGGTTACCAGCCATCCCACACTGGAACTGATCAGAAGAATCACCAAACAGTTGCAGCTTATACTCAACAAAGATCAGATACTGAAAGAAATATTCCCAGACTCTCTATTCCTAGTTCTCAAACAGCCCCCTAATCTTGCCTAACTCATCATCAAGAATCGGGTTTTTTCCATTGCCCATTTCCTGTGGAAAATAACAGTTTTTTTCTCCTTTAAAGGAGCAGGGAGAAAAGCTTTAAAGCAAGAAACCACTGGAGGTGGGGGGAGAAGGAGGGAACTGACGTGGGGGAGGTGGGGTGGAGGCTTAGAGCAGGAGAGTAAAAATGTGAGGGGATCCCATGGCATAGGGAGGAGGGGAAGGAGCAGGCCTGGCAGGAAACAATGTAGAGAGGGCACTGGTAGACTTCCAAATTGCTTTAAAATTGTAACTATATTAATAAAACAGTGTTTGACTGATACCTGTGTATATATAGTAACATTTCATTTTAATTGTGATAAAACATGGATTTTGGAGGTTTTTATCAAAGAATTTTATGGGTTTTTTATTAGAGAATTTTGGATTTCTTAAGAAAGAGAACCAGGATTCCTGCTTATCAGAAGCAAACTCTCCACTGCCTAACAGACCTCAAGTGAAATGCAGCCTTGCCTTGTCAATAAATGCCTAATCTGTCACCAGACCTCTCCTGCCACTACTATCAATACCCCCACCCAGAGCTGTCCCTTGGGTGGGGGTGGGGAAATCAGAGCAACTGCCCTGGGCCCCGTGCTTTGGGGGTCCCGCAGACAGTGCCGTACAGGCCCCAAGGGTGTCACCACTCCACGTGGCCCCTGCACACCACCGGCTTCACGCTCTGGCTGCTCACCAACCCCTCCCTCCCCTGCACCAGCCGATATGCCCCGGGCCCCCTAGGCTTGGCTCTGCGCCCCCCCCCGCCCCCCGCGTAAAAAAAAAATCCCATCAGAATCCTTGATTCCTACACGTACTTGTCCAAAAATGTGATCTAACTAGGGCCCTACCAAATTCACAGTGGAAGTGGGTTGTGAGGTGCCTCCTTTAATCTTGCAGATTCTCCTATATGCCCCCTCCCCACACTGTTGCTGATTGGCTGAGAGGCCCCGGTGGCCCTGCTGGTTGTTGTCAACAAGCTGGGAGGCAAAAAACAATGCCATATTTAAAGCTGCAGTTTTCTCCTCCCTGCCAATCAGGATCAAGTAGTGGGGCCCCTCTGCCAATTTGTGGGGGTGGGGCATGCAGGGGAACCTGTAAGATTAAAGGACCTGCCCTGCAGCACACTTCTGCCATGAATTCGGTAGGGTCGTGGGTAGACCTGAGCCAGTGCAACGATTGCTTTCATGGCAATTATGTGAGTGAAACTGAAATTAAACAACAATTACACACCAGAATGTACTCTCACAAAAAAATATAAAGGACGGGCATGCACACACATGTACGCCCCTCCCCATTAGGAGCACAATTTTCACAGAACAACCACCCTCTCACCTTGTGCTCAAGGGAAATGTACCCAACACCTTTAAAAGGTGAACTTGGATACAACAATTCATTAGGTGGCTGGACACTAAGAACCAGGGACTAAATGTAGATATCAGGTTTATGGCACATTATAATTTATTCAGCTCCTGAATTCAGTATCATTCTAGTACTAATGTAACATCTTTCATGTGATGCAAGTTCAGTTGTTTTAGTGAGCCATTATTTATTTTTGAAGTTTCTTACTGTTTGTTTTTTTTATTATAGCACAAACTTTCTGTAGAGTAAGATGGAAAGCTGCTACCACAAGCATGGTTTTTGCTATAGCAGTTACAGTAATGTTTACTTTGGGTCACAGTGTAATTCAGTATGTCATGTTACATTAATCTGATTTTTCATTAGTACACCTTAACACATTTTAGTAAGGGTTATTGATTATCCTCTCCATTTTACACATGTAAAACCTGAGGCACCAGAGTGAATGTTTATACAATTAAGAATAATATCATATAGCTCTTAAATAGTGCATACTATCACTAGATCTCAAAGCACTTTGAGAGAGGGATCTCATCTCCGGTTCACATTTTTGTAAAACTTTAGGTGTTGAACCTCTTTCACATGCCCTACCTAGTAGGTCACATTCCCTTGTGTAATAAATCAACAAAAACTATGGTTCGAGAACACGTTCTATTTTTTTTAACATTGCCCTGAAAACAGATTTCAAATGAGAAATTTCTTTTTTAAATCTTTAAAAGTTTATATCTTTGGTGTTTATATTTTAGTGCAAATGTTTGATTGAAATATTTGTATAATTTTTTAATGATGCTCCACACATTTTTGTCCATACCATCTAGCACTGCTATTTAAGAGATGGTGAGCATGCTACAACACTTAGGACTTGTGCAGGACCTTGCTTATGGGTTTTCTGCTTTTGATTGTTTATGAAGCCTTGGACACTCAGGGTATTGGACTAAATTGACTATTAATTTGTTTTGATACAGTGATTGCCATTTTTTCTTTTGCTCTTACAGCTTCAGCACCATAACTTTTTACTCATACATATTTATCTTTTTTTTTTTTTTTTCATGGCCAAATGTGGCACAAGTACTTCCTGAGCCCACAAGTTATTGTCTTTCCAGTACTATGAAATAAGGCTTGCTCTCAGAATAGACCACATTTTGGTATCATTCTTTCTCTCAGCCATCAACCTTTTGGCTAAGTAAAGTTGCATATTACGTCCTCCAGAATCTATTGCAGCTACTAATCCAGAGGACTGCTGTAGGATGACCTGGCATACTACTGTTATACATGAGCTGAGCAGACTGTAATACTACTAACATTGTGGAGAGGAAGGTTACAATCAGGTTTATTCCTAGTTGCTGAGAGGCAGGCAGTAAATCTGGGATTAGAACTTGAACACATGCCTGGCAGTACAAAGTATTGTTTTATCAAGCCAACTTCTGTATGATGCCTTAGGGCAGGGTTCAGTCATGTTTCAAAGCTGGGGAAGGAGGAAGTGCTGCTTTATTAGACTTTAGCTCCAAGTGCAGGCCTCTTTCAACCTAGCCTGCACCTCAGTCATCACCCTCTCCTCCTTACCACCTGGCAGCTCTGCCACCACTACTGCTTCTCACTGCCAAAATGCCACAAAGTCCCCTGGCTCTGCAGGCTGGATCCAGCCCACAGGTTGCTGACCCCTGCTTTAGAGCAGACACCCTGTCCTTCAAAACAATATAGGCAATAGAAAAAGGGTTTTTTTTCTTGCTAAATTCAATGTTCCAATATGTTATACTGTTTAGTGTACATTGATTAATTGTATGGATTTTGTGTTCATATAAAATTCATCCTGTTCATAGTGTGATTTTTTTTTTTTTCTCCTCTTTAGTATAATGCTTCACCACAGCAGCAAAGAGAAATAATTAAGAGTAGGAGTCTGGACAGGAGGCTACAAGAACCAATAGTTTTAACCAAGTGGAGGCACAGCACAATTGTATTGGACACCAATGATAAGGTAGGAGGAGCAAAAGAGCATGGTAAAATGAATGACCATTTTCTGGTTTTTGAAACGTTTGAAATGCACAGATTTCTAAAGGATTTATTTGGTGATTTTTTTTTTTTTTTTTTTTTTTCCCCTGTGTTGTAAACCATATACTGAGTATACATTTTCAGTAAAACCATGGGTAACTTCTTAAACTGTTATCTTTTATTTGATTGTTTTTAATCCAGATCTATTTTTGTACATTCACTGATTTATACTTTTTACTCAGAACTGTTTCCTTAAATCTTCTTTTGACTGGCTGATAACTAGCATTAAATTTAAGCTTTGCATCTACAAAAACATTTCTTCTAATTAAGAACCACTTGCATTCTGGTGTAAACAGGGAGAATAATCAGCAATCTTAATTTAAGCCCTTTGTATATATTCATAGTTCTTATGTAAAATACACCAATACTTTGTATCTGAAAGTGAACTGTTGGCAGTAGGGATATACCATATTTACCTAAATCTAAGACAGCTGTGAATTTAAGATGATTCACAAATAATTACATTCTATACATGGAAAATTATAAATGTATTATTATAATTTTTTCTGAAAAAAATCTAATTATAGTGGAAACTTGCCTTAAATTCATCCCCCACCACTGCTGTGGTGGGGAAAGCAGTGGCAGAAGGTGAGGGGCAAGAACCCTGCCCCTTGCCTCTTCTGTGCCTGCCCCACTGTAGCCTGCCCCCCAACTCTTTGCCTTCTGTGTCTCTGCCATCCACTCCCTGCCCCCTCCATGCCTGCCACTTACACACTCCCTGCTCCCCTCCCCCTCCCCCCATCATATACCTTCTGCTGCAGCTCTACTCTGGCTTCTGGGCAGTCGGCATTAGCAGTGGCTCTAGCCCCAGCCCTGCCCAGGAAGGAAGAAATGGTGGCAGCTCTGGGCCAGGGCTGGAGGGACCAGAGGCAGAGCCAGAAGGTAACTTGGCTAGGGGGCAGGCTGCATGGTGTACCCTGCACTCCCCCTGAGTCGCAAATGCAGGTCTTCACCTTTTTTCCTCCTCCCCCACCCTGCAGTCTCCCCCTCACTCTTCCATCTGTGAACCCCTCCCCTGCCAAAGGAGCCATCTCCCAGCCTGGGGTAAGTGCAGATCATCTCTGGCTTGATCCCTGAGCTGGGGGCCGAAGTTGGAACTGAGCTACTGCCTGTCCTGGGTTACTACTTGAATCGAAGACAAGGCTTCTTTCCTGCCACATTGACTGTGTGGGGAGAGATGGGGGAGGGAGAAGCCTTTTCTTGGATTTGAGTAAATATAGTAATATGAAAACACTGATTTAGTACAAAGAATTTATAGCCTGCTTTTTCAGTGGTTTAAATTGGCGTCAATGTCTCACTAATATTGGGCATACGTAGTTAATTGCCAAGTTAAATAATCACCTTTAAGATGGGAGTACCCGTAGAAATATGTAGTGGCTTAATTCCTTTAACAATTCTTCTTTGATTTTTTTTATTGACTTAGTTTTAGTTTTGAAGCAGGCTTCAACTTGGATCATTTTGAGGAGGAGCTAGCTTTACTAGAGGTGCACCAATACATCGGTTCGATATTGGATCAGCACCGATATAAAGAAAAATGACTATATCGGAAATCAGCCTGATGTGACTAATAATTTGGCCAATAAATGCCTGTGCGTGCATGCACGCAGTTGCAGCACAGCACACAGGCAGCAAGGAGCACAGCACAGCCCAGCAGCTTGGAGAGCTGTATGCAGCTGGTAAGTCTGTTGTGGTAGAAGGGGAGAGGGGAGGGAAGGTGTAGCTGGGCAGATCAGTGCCCCCCATGGTAAGGGAGGTAGTGGGGCTGGGGTAGGTGCTGCCCAGCTGGGGTGGTGCAGGATGTGGGATGGAGCCATGGCTCGTCCAGGGACCATGGAGAGGGGGAGTATCTCCCGCTGCTATGTGCACCCTGGGAGGGCATGGAGGGGAGGGGCATATGCACCTGAATCTGCATGGGGCAGGGCAGGCTGCAGCTGTGGGCTGGGGTGGGGGTTGTGCCAGGTTCTTCCTGGCAGAGGGGGCTGGGCCATGCTTCACTCAGGGCAGGCGGCAGCAGTGCTGAGAGGGAACTATGGAGGGTCTACAGCAAAATTTGGGATGGCACCCCCAGCCCGCATCTGCCCTCCCTGGGTGCACACAGCAGTGGAAGCCGCTTCCCCTCCCTGCACCCCACCCGGACGAGCCACAGCTTTGCCCCACCCTGGCTGGACAGCACCTACCCCAGCTCCCCTCCCCTCCCCCCTGCCCTTCACCACAGAGGGCATTGATCTGCACCCTCACTCCCTTCCCTCCCCTCTCCCCTTCAACCACAACAGATTTACCAGCTGGACGCAGCTGTATTGGAAACTGGATCGGTATCAGCCGATATGCCTCCTTAATAATCTGCTATTGGTATCAGCCCCCAAAATCTCAATCAGTGCACCCCTAAGCCTTACTTAAATTCATGGTACGGAAAGTGCTAATGACTCGGTTTCAGTTGCTTTTCAGAGGTCAACTGAGAGTTGAATGGTCCTCATTTCCTCTCAAGTTCATTTTAAAAGTTGTTTCCTACACTGTTTATTAGAACAGTCTCTTTAGTACTTGACAAAATGCATCTTAAGCAAAACAGCAGGGACAGGTCTCCTAGCTGTTCCTTTACATCTTCTGTATGATTTATAGTAGAATCGGGATTTATTTCAACCATATCTTCCAGTAAGTTACACGTTTATTAATATTAATGGTGAGAAATCAAATCTTGCTTAGCATTCAGAGCTAGCAGTCGGAGGATTGATGTTAATTGCAGGTAATTTTGCAATATAATGTAAAATCTTCAATCTGCGTGCTCCCCTGCTTTTCAAAAAAGCATTGGGAAAAGTAGATACTTTGGAAATTGGATCTTCACAGGAGACGTAAACATAAATTAGCATCTTTACTGTCATAGACCTTGAAGAAAGAAGTGAGGGGTTGTTCTATATAGCCTCAAATGCCCAAAAGAGTAATTTGACGTTTACTAAGATTAAATCAGAATACACTTTTGTTCATGTTACTTGTGTCCTAAGTTGTTTTTCCTAAAACATCAGTATTCTTTACCTTACAGCTTGAATGTTAACACACCTTACAGTGTCTAAACATTCTGCTACTGTTAACTCTGGGAGAAAAAGCAATCTTGATATAATATGTATATCCAGCATGATTGCAAATGATTGTGTGGTCGAATGGATCAAAATAAACCTTACTGTAGAGCAAGAACAGAGAGCTGAGGCCAATATGAAAGGAAATGGGAAGTAGTAATCAGCTGTTTAAAAATTAGGGTTGCCCTCACAATATTGCTAACTGTTTTACTCTGCACTATTAAAGTGTAAAGTGGCATGTCTACAAAACTAATCTGACTTATCAAACTTTGTGACAAGCACCTAGAAAATGGAAAGAAGAAATATTTTCCACCAAGACAAGAAGGAAGTCTCTCTTAATAATAAGAAGGAAGTCTCTCTTGCATGTAATACCACCACTGAAAATCTGTGGGGAAATACCACATAAAGCTTTTCAATGCAGAATGATCACAGACCATATTAGAGAAAACATTATTTTTTCCCCCCCATTTGGTTGACTTTGATCTTCAGAAATTTAGTATTTTTTCTTTTTGATACATAATTAATATGTAGCTCACAAATCCAACACTCTGTGATTTCACTTATGCCCTCAAGACATAGTCGGCCTTGGATTGCAGGAAAATTAATTAAAATAGTTCAAAAAATTAATCCTAAATCTATTAAATTATTTACATATTAAAGTCATTTCATCTTTTTGGTTACCAACTAAGCACAGGCATAATTCTTATTTATAGTTGGGACAAATACCCAAGAATACCCCAGGCAAAATTAATATCCAGAACCTGATTTTATTTTGACAATGTAGGTGAATTTGTAAAAGACTATTGAAAAAGCCTCCAATAAGTTCTACTTCTTAGGAAAATGAAAGCATTGTTGTACAGCATGGTGGTATTGTTAAGATTCTGCTTCAATAAACATACTAGGTTGACGTGGACATGATTTCATTCTATAAACCTTGTAGGAGCACCTCCTTCAACAAACAGTTATATCAGTATCTCATTATGTTATCTGTGCTTTAAAACACAGTGCATAGTCCATGACTCACAATATGAAATGCGATACTGGAAAGGAAAAAATGTAATTGAAGAATGAGCAGTGCTGCTGTTCAAAAGAGTAACTCTTTGTATTATTTAACTTCACTTTTTAGGATTCTCCATCTGCTTCCAAGACAAGCTTCCCTGAAAATGAGTCATCTCCTTCTTCACCAAAGCACCAAGCCACAGTCAGTATTGAAGTTATTTCACAATATATACTGTAATGACTGGGCAGCTAGTGAATAAAATAGTTTGAGAGCAAGTCATGGGGTTTAAATCTTGCCAACCTCTGGCCTAAAGGTATACCACTAGCCCAAGAAGTCAGAGATCTGGGTTGCAGGCCCTCTGTCTGAGGGGGTTTCATACCTAGGTCTCCCATCTGCCAGGAGAGTGCTGTAACCATTAGGACTATAGGTTGGGTTTTGGATGGGTGGAGTTTCCACTCCTGTTGCAGCTGATCTACTGTTTAGAAAGGAATACAGAACTAATGAGGAAGAGGAAGCAGTAGGGAACTTCTCTTCAGTAATGAAGATGGACACATGCACACACCCCTGCCCTGGGTGAGGGAAGATCTGGGGCCTGGCCTCTGTTCCACAGATTATTTATATATATTTTACATTTGAAAGTTATCCAGCAAATATTGGGATCTGAGACTGAAACCCAGAACTCTAAAAAAGGTCTAGGAATGCCTACTAGACTGGGCCTTAAGGGGTTTTGGTATGAAGATGCCCGATTTGTGAATCCTAAATTGTATCAAGCTACTCAGCATTTTGCAGGTAATGCTGTATGTATGTAGTTGCAGAACTTTCAGTGTTTCAAGATTTCTGGAAAAAAACTAGTGTATCTGGTCTCTGTGCTCAAATAACTAGGGTTTTTATCGATTTATTTATTTATTTTTATTATTATTATTTTTTAACCTGGACTAACATGCCTAAATTTTGCATTCTGGTCACTAATACTTTTTTTTGGTGATCTGGCCCCTAGTGTGAATGAGCAACATCCCTTCTGCTGTAGTATTTTTAAGCACGGGAAGTATAACTAATTTTTTGTGCTCACCAATGCAACATCAATTTTGTCATCTTTATGGTCTGTCTATTAATAGATATTGGTTTTAGGTTAAATTTTAAATAATTTGTGAAACAATATAAAATTTAGTTCTGGAATGTGAAAAACATTGAGGTGTTCCTTTAAAAAAAAATCCATATATTATAGCATTAGGAATTGTTGATGCATGATTTTAATGATTTGTTAGTATTTGTTTTGGGAGCATGAAGGCACCATTTTTTCTCATCTATCACAATGCACCAGTGTATAGATTGAAAACCCTACTACTCATTTACAGTGATCTATTCTATGCTGCTTATTTTATGATTTTTTAGATTACTGTGAATATAGGCAGATTTTCCTTAGTGTATTTACTAAGTTTCTCTCAACAAGTAAATCTTTTGTCTTAGTGCACAAGCAAAAAGTGCTGCTTATTTTACTTCAGATGTTTTAAATATGGCACAGTTTTTGAGGTATTATAATTATCCTTAGTAAATAATGCACTACTTGTCTTAGACAGCAGAAAAATGCTGGTTCTCCAGCAAATTCAGTATTTTCCTCTATTCTGTTCAGGTTTGCACATCCACAAAGAAAGCTTTTTAAGTCTTTTTGCATTGCTTGAGCCTTAATTCATTTTTCCTTGCTATTTTCCCATGGGACTTTACATTGGCACTCCCCCATTCCCCTGATTAATCAGACCTTTATTTTGTTTATTTGCTGCTGGGGAGAATTCTTCCTATTGGTAAGATTGATATCTGTGTTGTCCAGGCGCATCTAAGGTGGATGCAGATAGTGAGTTTTTGTGTTACTAATAATTTACTATGAATAATTAGTGATAGCATGTGTCAGCATGCTGTAGTAACATTGAAAAAGCAGAGGAAGATACTCTGAGGGATTCTACTTGAACGTTAAAGTCTTAGAAGGTTTATTTGCAATTTATATGAATATTAGGTATTGTTTGTCATAGATCACTAATGACGTGACAAAGAATAGGCTAATTGCAGAGACGGGGGGAGGGTTGTAAACCATTTTCTCAACTGAACCAAACCAGCGCTGGAAAAGGTCATTTTTCAATAGATGTCTTGACTAAAAGGAAAAATTGTTGAAATGTCCCATTTTTCACATTTTGTAAATGAAAAATTCTGTTTTCCTATTTTGAAATTATTTCATTTAAAATTTGATTTAATCATGTTTGTGCATGTGTCTGTTTATATATAGCTATATATCTATTTATATAGATATACTGTATATCTATCTAGATAGATATATATCTTTATATCATCCCTGAGGTTTCAAGAAAAACTCCCCATCTCTTGAGTCAGGCAAAAGCAACAGTCTTGGAAGTTTTAAAGCAGCAACACATACCAAAATTTCAGTTAAGACCAAGGCATTTTAAAAATATATTTATATTTATATTTGTATTTATATTATATTTGCTGTTTGAAAACTTCCAAGACTTTTGCTTTTGCCTGACTGTAGAGATGGGGAGCTTCTCTTCAAATCTGAAGGATTTTTCTGTGCAAGGAAGTTATGCTACTGCTAGGCAGAAAACTGTAGTTCAGTAGATTAACAGAAATCAAGTTGGGTCGAGACTGTCCATAGACTGTGTCATATTTATCTTAAATTATTGTTGCATCTTTGAGTAAAATAAGCATTATTTGAAGGATCTATGAATAAATCCTACCAGCCTCACACAATCAAAAATTATAAAACAAAACGAAAGGTCTGGAAGACAGGTTTAGTTCTGTCCCTTGTTTCATCTATGTAAAGCATCCCAGCCAAGTCAGCCAAGTACTTGTCTATCAACAAGTCTATTAACATCTCCCAAATATGGGGATTCCTTAGACGTTCCAGTGCTTGATCATCTTATAGTTAGAAAGCTCTTATATGCAAGCTAAAATTTCTCTTGTTGCAGTTCAAGATTTGCTTCTTGTCCTGTCACCTGTTGAGATGACAAATAGTTGATCATCATTCTTTTTATAACACCTTTGCTTGTATTTGAAGACATATCAAGTCCTCCTTTCAGACTTCTCAATAAATAATCTTGGTTCTTTCAACCCATCCATGAATGTAGATAGTATAGGCAGTAACACCCTAAAAATTTTATCTGAGATAGAATCCTTGTGGATAGAAATTCTGTGCTTGAATAAAAAGAACATACCATGTTTATATAAATCTTAGATGATGATAAATGTAATATAACTCCCCAGTAATTAGAATCTATACATGGAAAATTTATAAACTTGTTATAATTTTCCATGTATAGAATCCAAGTATTGGAGGGTTGTCTTTAATTTATCCCCCCCCCCAACTGCTGCATAGGGGCAGGTGGGGAGGTCAAACAGCTTGTGCCCTGCCCCTCCCCATGCCTTGGGTCCCCCTCCACCCCTGCTGCCCCTGTGCTTCCCTCTTCCCCTCCTATCCTTGCTCTATGCCAGCAGGCTACATCCTCATTCTAGTCTGGGACAGAGCATGGGCCCCACCCAACCCCTGTAGCAGCCATGCAGACTGTGCGCTGCTGCTCCAGAGCCAGGGTGGGCCTGTTCTCAGTGCCCCAGTTTGCAGTGTATGTATGGAGCAAGGGGAGAGGGCTAGATGGGGGAGCAGCAACTGCATGGTGGGGAAGAGGGTGCAGTGTACAGAGAGGGCAGTGGGAGTAAGCAACAACTGTGCTACAGCCCTGATCACGTCAGAGCTGGAGCCTGAGCTACAGCAGCTGCCTCTTCCCACCCCGCCTTTCCAGCCCCGTACTTGAGTCTAAGATAAGGTGCTTTTCCTCCCATGTTAAATGGGGGGGACTTAGAATCAAGTAAATACGGTAGTTCTAGGATTGTACTACTGATTACCTAATCAGGAAAGTGAAGGTGATTATTAAAGGCTCAGTGAGATTAGAGAAGCTGGTAAAATGGAACAAACAATAATAATGGGAACCTTCGACTATCCTCACATAGACTGAATAAGCACCTCATCAGGGCAAGATGCAGAGATAAAATTTCTGGATGTGGTAAATGACTGTTTTGTAGAACAGCTCGCCTGGGAACCCACAAGGGAAGAAGCAATTCTAGACCTAAACATGCAGGCCCTGGTTCAAGAGGTACCAGTTGGTGAGCCACTGTGTAATAGCAACTATAACATAATCACATTCAACATTTTAGCAGGAGGGAGTAAGCCAAAAAAGTCCACCATGCCAATATGCAACTTTAGGAAGAGTAATTGCACAAAAACGAGGAAATTAGTTAGGAAGAAGTTTAAAGGAGCATTCAAAAACATAGACTTGCAGGTAGCTTAGAAGCTGTTTAAACAGCAGTGGCTCAGGAAAAGCATGTTTCACAAATTGAATAAGGGAAGCAGAAGACCACTAAAATCCCTGCGTGGTTTAATAGGGAGTTAAGGAGGCCCTCCAAGGCAAAAAGCATCCTTCAAAAAATGGAAGGCATACCTAAATGAGTAGAACAGGAAAGCTCACAAAATAGAACAGGTCAAATATAAAAGTGAATTAAGGCAGGCCAAAACATAATTTGAGGAGGATCTAGCAAAAGATACTAAATTTAACAATAAAAACTTTAAAAAATGCATCAGAAGCAGGAAGCCAGCTAGAGAATTGCTGGGACTATTATATGTCCAGAATGTAAAAGATGCCCTTAGGGATGACAAAACCACAGTAGAGAAGCTAAGTGAATTCTTTGCATTGGTGTTTATCACAGAAGATACTGGGGAAATTCCCAAGCTAGATCAATCCTTTGTAGTATATAGGTATGAAGAGTTGGACCACGTTAAAGTCACAACAGAAGAAGTTTTAGAACAGATTAAACAAAAGGAAATGCTGATAAGTCACCAGGACTGGATGGCATTCACCCAAGAGTTCTGAAGGAATGCAAAAGGTGAAATTATAAAGCTTGGTAATACTTAATGTAATAAAACTATTGTTACAAATGGCCTCTGTGCCAAAGGACTGGTGGCCTGCCAATGTGACACCCACCTTCAAAAAGAACTCTTGAGGTGATCCCGAGAACAACAGATCTTTGAGTCTCGCTTCATCCTGGCAAGTTGGTAGAATGTATAATACAGAATAGCAGTCACACGGAGAAATAGGATCTACTAGGGAAGAGGCAGCATGGTTTTTTGTAAAGGGAAGTCCTGCCTCACCAATCTGTTGGAGTTCTTTGTGGGTATCAGCAAGCATGTGAACAAAGGGAATCCAGTTGACAATATATTTGGACTTTCAGATGCCAAAAGCTTCAAAAAAGCAAAAACAAACCATGTAGATTAGTAAAGTCAAGGTATATCATATTCACTGCTCTTCCTCCTGTTGGCTACAAATGCCCAACTCGGGATCCTTAAAATTCTAGTTTATTAGGCAGATTGAAACACTGTAATCATAAACCTTGGGGCTGGTCCCCACACACACATGCACACACATACACACACACAGTAGCAGGCTACAGAGTCAGGTATACCTATCCTACAAGCGTTGGAGTCTGTCGTTGAGGCTTCTTTCAGCGTGGTCTTATCTTCCAGAA